CATATTTTCCAGTGACATCGCTATTGCCATGCCCGATCTGACAAATCGGTAGCGCAACACTCTCCATATAGCCGCACATGTTGAAATTATCAATCTCCGCAGGCACATCTGGAGATTCAATCACCTGCAAGTTTCAAGCAAAACGAGATACTGCCAAAAAAAAACGTTTCAAATTTAGAAACCATACAATCCATATAAGTGTTTTTCTACATTATGAATTCTGATGCTGATCGCCCCCAAGGTGTTTGCCAGATGTGATGTCAGAAAAGATGCCATAGAATGCCAGATAGAATGTCTGAATATATACATGAGGTAAAATGTCAAATAAAACGTCAAAAAGTATATGTCAGAAAAAATGCTAGATAGAAAGTCACTGGGTGCAGGTGGGGTCACTCGAAGAAAGTCTGTTTAGTTCATTTTAAGTTTTATGGTCCAAAAAACGTATGCCAAGTAATCATGTGGGCATGCTTTCTCAACACCGAGTCTTCAAGGCTCATTTGAAAGTCAATACCAGATTGTAAAGAAGAATCGCTGCTGAGAAACACAAAGCGAGCTGGTGCATATGAACTCCACTTGTCCTGCCGGCATCTCATCATCACAACCTCATTGTGTGGTCAGAGTTACAGTCAGACATTTATACGTTTTGTTACTGGCAAATCTTCTGGCATTCTATCTGACATTTTATCTGACATTCTATCTGGCATACCTTCTGGCATTCTATCTGGCATATCTTCTGGCATTCTATCTGGCATATCTTACGGCATTCTATCTCGCATATCTTCTGGCATTCTATCTGACATTCTATCTGGCATAGAACTTTGTTGACAAATTTGTGGTGACACTGACATGTTCAACGCCCAGCTGGTAGCAGCTTTACCTGATGGCTGTAGCAGTCTTCATCAGGAAGGCGTCGGGTTTTTTCCCCCAAGTATCGAACAGAAATTTGTTGACAAAACCACTTTTGGTGACACTGAAATTTTCAACGCCCAGCTGGTAGCAGCTTTACCTGATGGCTGTAGCAGTCTTCATCGGGAAGGCGTCGGGTTTTTTTTCCCCCAAGTCTTGAACAGAAATTTGGTGACAATACCACTTTTGGTGACACTGAAATGTTCAACGGCCCAGCTGGTAGCAGCTTTACCTGATGGCTGCAGCAATCTTCATCAGGAAGGCGTCGGTGTTTTTTCCCCCAAGTATTGAACAGAAATTTGTTGACAAATTTGTGGTGACACTGAAATTTTCAACGCCCAGCTGGTAGCAGCTTTACCTGATGGCTGTAGCAGTCTTCATCAGGAAGGCGTCGGTTTTTTTCCTGCAAGTATTGAACAGAAATTTGTTGACAAATTTGTGGTGACACTGAAATTTTCAACGCCCAGCTGGTAGCAGCTTTAACTGATGGCTGTAGCAGTCTTCATCAGGAAGGCGTCGGGTTTTTTCCCCCAAGTATTGAACAGAAATTTGTTGACAAAACCACTTTTGGTGACACTGAAATTCTCAACGCCCAGCTGGTAGCAGCTTTACCTGATGGCTGTAGCAGTCTTCATCAGGAAGGCGTCGGGTTTTTTCCCCCAAGTATTGAGCTCGGAAGGTCCCAAGTTGAGGTCCAGCGGTGCGCACTGAGCTCGGAAGGTCCCAGGTTGAGGTCTAGCGGTGCGCACTGAGCTGGGAAGGTCCCAGGTTGAGGTCCAGCGGTGCGCACTGAGCTCGGAAGGTCCCAGGTTGAGGTCCAGCGGTGTGCACTGAGCTGGGAAGGTCCCAGGTTGAGGTCCAGCGGTGCGCACTGAGCTGGGAAGGTCCCAGGTTGAGGTCCAGCAGTGCGCACTGAGCTCGGAAGTTGGCGAAGAGCTTGGTGAAGAGTTGGCAAGGCGGAAGTGGAGGTGGAAGTTGATGCAGACATGGTCGAGGAGAAACTGGAGGAGGAGGCAGAGGAGGAGGAGAAGGAGGAGGAGGAGGCGGAGGACAACAGCTCTGATAAAACCTAACAACCCTCACCTGGCAGGTGGGGAACAACAACTATTGCAACAACAGCCGCCTGGGAACATCAAGTTTCAATCGCGATCGACTGATCGTACTCTCGTGTGGAACCCTGAAGTTCTTGTTCTCGATGTCAGTTTTCAATGTTTGAGCAGCTTGCGGTCCAACAATTAGCGATGCACTCCTCACCAAGGCTTCCGGGATACACGCCTCAACACTCTTGACAAAAAATCAGTTGGGTAGATGACAGGCAGCTCTGGAAACATGTCCGCTATGGTTTGATTATCTTAATTTGTTCATAGAGTTTTGACACAACTCTTGCTTGAATAGCCAAACCCAGCGGAAACAAAAACCGAGTCAATGCCGAGTCAAGTCACTGCATTTCGAAGAAATCGCGAAAAGAGTAATGTCTCCAGCAGGGAGTGTAGTCGGTAGTTCCACCCTCCGGCCTGCGATTTCCAAGCAAAGCAAATAGGGAATGCAGTGAATATGTACGAGGACCAGAAAACCAAATATCTCAACAATTTCAGCTCAAATCTCAAGTTGGGACCCTCAAACCAAAGTAAGGAATGCAATTCAATCTGCAAGCTTGACCAGACCCTCAGACCCTCAGTGTAAAATGAACAGCACCCTGGGCCCTGCCTGTCGGCCTTTTGTAGCAACACCACCACTCCGCTCAACACCACCGTCTTGTAGCAAGCCAGATTCAAGACAAGCCACTGCCAAATGCAAACCAGACCGTCTATTTGAATCGGTAGCTGCCACTGCGTTGCGAATCACCGCTAGCGCTTGGTCAACTGTGATATCCATTGCACAGCCCCATTAAACCCAAAGAAATACGCATAAGTCGCCAGTAGGCAACATTGAGGAACCCATATCATATAGATAAATGTTACAAACAAACAAATCATAGTTATTATTATTTTATTTTTTTAATGGTTTAACCCAGTTTAATTGTCTGTTCATTGAAACCTTTGGCTGCTCTTGAGGCTCATGTTTTGAGCCTACATGGCGGAGAACTGGCAGCCTTAGAGAATAAATTCCTATAAGATGTGTTTTCTCATCAGGAAATCAGAAATAGCACCCCTTTTTTTGTGAACAGATTAATTCAAAATAACCCTGGTTTTATGGTATGTGCGGTATGGCTATCCTGCATGTAAGAACCCATATCCTATGTAGGTGCAGATTTAACAGGATATGGTTGACCCTTGCTAAAACCATATACACTTGCAATCATATACCTGCAAACTTCCGGAGTAACTGCAAAACGCATATTGCTTTTCGGCACTTGCTCGTGCAAGTTAACAGATTTACCCTCTGGTTATGACTAACATAGCCATGGAAAATCACCATTTTGAATAGGTAAACCATCTATTTCTATGGATCATTTCCCATGGCTATGGTATCATGACAAAAGCGGCTTAAAGATGGTGGTTTTCCAATTCGCAAAGCGTGAGACGATCGAATAGGTGGCTGCACATTGTCTCGTCAGGATGGTTTATTCAAAAACATACATTGTGGTGCCTCTCGAATTATCAGTTGGTTGGTAACCTCAGAATATATATATATATATAATACTATAGATACATCTACCAAGAGTCCGAGTTTATTAGAGTTGTTTTAACCAACTTAGGTATCTTGGGTGGCACAGTTGGATAAAGAAGGATACCAGTTTCAGCATTTTATATCATCTGTAAATGTGTAACCACATGTTTCCCCATATTTGGTGGAATTATGAAACATCACTTGAATGCTGGTAAAATGATGCTAGACCGGCTAAACCCATGTTAAACCTCCAGACATGTAAAGCTGTAAAGACAGATCCTTGTGGGTGGATGGTTTCGCCATTGAACGAATCTTTGTTTTTGCCAATGGACAATGAATGTGTGCATGAAAGGGGCTGAAGCTGTTGAAAGCACCTCAGTTGCGTTTTTTTTGTTCTATATCGTTTGACGACAGTTGTCAGTCAGTTGCAGAATCTGGTCCGGCATGCAGGCATGTGTTGGCCATACAGGTAGTATCAGCAAAACAATATCGTTGAGCCCGTCGAATAATTCCGCAATGGGACATGGAAGTACCCTGATGGGAGCACCCAATTTTCTCTCAGCTAGACAGTGCAAGAAAAACAAAACATCACAACTATGGTGTTGGCCTAGAAGTAGGACTACATGGTCATAAGATGTCAACAAAGATTCAACATGAAAATTTGCAATCCCGCCTCTCGAGTCTTTACTTACTCAATGTTTTCGATCAGACAATCAGGATTATTATTCAAATCAACAGATGCCCGAACTAGGCATTTGTTTGTCAGTCTGAGGGCGGATCAACATTTAAAGCACAAGAAGTCAAGAAGTTACAAAGAAATAGAGGCCCCATTGTCATTCTGATTAGGTAGACCTAAGAAATAGAACCTCCATTGTTTTACTCGATGTTTCATGGTTGCTACCCAATGTACAAAATCGGTTGAACCATGGTTCATGGCACCAATCATTTTGCTGAGACCCAAACCATTTTGCAGCGCCCTAGTCAAACCCGGATTTTTGAGTGTCGACCCAAGCCTCAGCCTCAAGACAGACAAGTGAAAATCACATAGCTGGTTGGTGGTTTGGAACATGAATTTTATGACTTTCCATATATTGGGAATAAGGTGAAGAACTGACTTTCCTATGTTTCAGAGGGATTGACACCACCAACCAGCATAGAATACTGTTCGATATTGATTCCCTTCGGAATGATGCTAGCACTTTAGCCCTTTGATCGCGGTGCATAATCAGTTCGTTTCATGTGAAGCATCACCAATCGCAACGCTCTCATCAAATCACTTTCTACATGATGGTTCCCTCCCACCTGATGTTTATTCATACTAATTTTATATTGTATAGATGGGGTTTACCGCACTATCCACTGTTCATACTTATGGTTATGGTTATCAAGATGATGTTTTGCCACTCTATCCATTCTTCATGGGTCCCAAAGAACCCATGAAACAATGATTTCCCTCTTCATGGTCTTCAGAGAAACGAACGCAGGAGTTGGGCAAACTGCGAAACTTGTATCTTGGGTGCTGATTGAGCTGTGGCTGATCGATGATGGTTATAGCAACCTCAAGAAACGCGCAGAAAAGGCTGAATGTATCGAACACATGTTACTACGAATTAAGAAGTACGACCCTTTTTTTGGAGGTTGCTATGGATGGGTAATTCGATTCGATGGGATGTTTGGAAACATAGAAAGGGTTCAACAATATTGAAACGTGAAAAATGAGGATATAACTAGATACTGTATATATAGTATAGACAATGATTTAACTCTCTAGATAACGGTTGATGTTTGGTTGATGCACAAATTATATTTGTATATGTAGAGACGTCTACTATCTGAGAAGTCATGCTTTATCGAATGTAGTTCTGCTGAACAAATATGGCTTTGGACATACACTGGGATACCACTTCTACCCATGGAGATAGTCACCAAACATATCCAAACATGATTTGCCAGTGGCTTGCAGCGAGTGCCCACACGTATGAGACATTAATTTGATGCTGCTCAAGAGAGTTGGTGTGTCTGTTGATGGGGTGGAAAGCCTTCAATTCCCAAGGCTTATTTATATGTATTTAATTTATCATATTTATCCTATAATTTTCCCAGTCAAAATGCACATAAGTTGTTGTCCCTGAATTGCATGGTTGTCCCAGTGTATGCTGAGATTTGCTGAGATTTCACTGGATGCATTTCCGGGGCTCCGGTGGCTGAAAATTGATCTTCCACCCGCCAGAGGTATTTGATGCAAGCGCCGCCAGAAAGAAAGGGCCGCGCAGTTGGCTGGGAGACTGTGGTTGAGGAATTTCTATCGGATGCCAAGTGAAGGTTGCTGCAGTGCCAAGTTGACGCAACGTTGTTTTTTGATGGCAAGGGACCCAATCACTTATCACAATTAATATCACAATCCTCATGCTAACCCCCAAACCAGCGGATTTCCATCAGGTTTAGGGCACTGCGGAACTAGGGAATGATTTGGCGCTGCTTTCTCTGCTAGACCTTGCTGCAGTGAGTAGGAATTGCACCTATAAAAGTGGTTGCTTCATCTTCAACTGACATTCTGATGAATCTTGACGTCAGCGGGTTCCTGACTGCCATCATGAGGTTTTAAGATGTTTTAAGAGGATAATGGAGGTATTAATGGGACAAAAACAACCTATGAATGGAGGCATTTACTGCGATACCCTTTTCTGAATTGAAGCCAACATGCCAAGTGGCGATATCTGCTCCATTTGCTCGAGCCGTGGGTTCCGAGTTTTCTATTTACGGTCGGGTCCTAAGACATAGACATGCAACAAGAAGATCAGGCTGCCAATTGTTTTTTGCTGTCCACCCCTACAAGGTGGTGCCCCCGTTCGATAGCTCAGTTGGTTGAGAAAAGTCTAATGACCAACTAGCACTTGTGATAACCATATTTATATAGGAGTTTCCTAAAATGGAAGTACCCCCATATTCCATTTTAGTAGGGTTTTCCATTATCGACCATCCAGCTATTGGGGTACCACCATTTCAGGAAATCTCCATATAGTGGGGTTGGGGGTCACTCGCATTCTACCTGCCATTGCGCTCCGAGTCAGGACATGGCGACGCCGACGAAGCGAAAAATTGAAAATGCGTGGCTACTCAGCGACTACAGGGATAACTGATTGGTGGTTTGGAACATTTTTTATGACTGTCCATTCACTTGGGATTCATGGATTATAGATTATAGTGGTTTACTAGATTTTAATGGATTTTAATGGATTGTTCCATTCAGTTGGGAACAATAATCCCAACTGACGAACTCATATTTTTCAGAGGGGTAGGTATACCACCAACCAGATATATATATATATATATATTTCTCGTGATTTATTTACCATACACCATAATTTACCAAGTTAATCCAAACAACAACGCAACGCCGCGAAATCACCACAAGCAGGGGTCAACCACCAAGCAGATCAGCGCATTTTGACGTCACAAGATCGTCAGAAGTGCAAGTGAATCGCCCCGATCCCCATTGGTTGGTGTTGTTGTTGTTGTTGTTGTTGTTGTTGTTGTTGTTGTTGTTGTTGTTGTTGTTGTTGTTGTTGTTTATGCCCAATGGATGGCCTGAGAAGGTACGGCTAAGCCTCTAAATCAGACCACACATATCGCCACATATTCCTGCTCCGCCTCCTCCTCCTCCTCCGCCTCCTCCTCTTCCTCCTCCAGTTTCTCCTCGACCATGTCTGCATCAACTTCCACGTCCACTTCCGCCTTGCCAACTCGTCGCCAATCTCTTCGCCAACTTCCACGCGCAGTGGGCACTGCTGGACCTCAACTGCTGGCTTCTGTGTTGCCAACTCTTCGCCAATCTCTTCGCCAACTTCCGCGCGCAGTGGGCACTGCTGGACCTCAACTGCTGGCTTCGCATCTGAGTGGGCACGGCTGGACCTCAACTGCCGGCTTCCGATCTGAGTGGGCACGATGGGCACGGCTGGACCTCAACCGCCAGGTTCCGAGCGCAGTGGTCACCGCTGAACCTCAACCAGGGACCTTCCGAGCCCAGTGGGCAGCGCTCGACCTCAACCTGGGACCTTCCGAGCTCAGTGGGCACCGCTGGACCTCAACGGCCAGATAGAATGCCAGCAGATATGCCAGATAGAATGCCAGATAGAATGTCAGATAGAATGCCAGAAGATATGCCAGATAAAATGCCAGAAGATATGCCAGATAGAATGCCAGAAGATATGCCAGATAGAATGCCAGAAGGTATGCCAGATAGAATGCCAGATAATATGCCAGAAGATATGCCAGATAGAATGCCAGATAGAATGCCAAAAGATATGCCAGAACATATGCCAGAAGATTTGCCAGATAATATGCCAGAAGATATGCCAGGTAGAATGCTAGAAGATATGCCAGGCAGAATGCCAGAAGATATGCCAGATAGAATGCCAGAAGATATGTCAGATAGAATGCCAGAAGATTTGCCAGTAAGAAAATGTATAAATGTCATGGTGGGGATCACACGAAGTAAAGTAATTTTAAATGCAGGCAAATTTACACCACAATAGGCCGAGGGTCCCTCAAATTCTTGGAGCATTCTTAGTTATGTATTGCATGCATCTGCGCAATTTGGAGCCAGCTTAAACGAGGAGTAAACGAGGTAACGAGGTGGAGTTGGCAGATTTGACAAGAGGCATGCGAAAAAAACAATAGAGCCTGAAAAAATGTTTTTTGCGAAGCCGGGCTTGTCTGAGTTTCATGAGAGCAGTGCGGAAAAAAAACATTTTTTTAGAGCCCGAAAAATTGTTGTTTTTGCAAAGCCAGGCTTGTCTGAGTTTCATAAGAGCAGTGTGGAAAAAACAGTTTGTTAGAGTTAGAGCTTGAAAATTTGTTTTTATGCAAAGCCGGGCTTCTCTGAGTTTCATATGAGCAGTGTGGAAAAAACTTTTTTTAGAGCCTGACAAGTTTTTCCCCTTGCCAGGTGAGGGTTGTTAGATTTTATCAGAGCTGTTCTCCTCCGCCTCCGCATCCTCCTCCTCCTCGTCCTCCTCCTCCTCGCAGTCCAGATCCCAGTGGGCACAGCCGGACCTCCACTGCGAGCGCCAGATCCCAGTGGGCATCCAGATCGCAGTGGGCACTGCCGGACCTCAACTCAACCGCGACTTCCAGATCGCAGTGGGCACTGCCGGACCTCAACCGCGACTTCCAGATCGCAGTGTGCACTGCCGGACCTCAACGGCCAGATAGAATGCCAGAAGATATGCCAGATAGAATGCCAGAAGATATGTCAGATAGAATGCCAGAAGATATGCCAGATAGAATGCCAGAAGATTTGCCAGATAGAATGCCAGAAGATATGCCAGATAGAATGCCAGATATAATGCCAGAAGATATATCAGATATAATGCCAGAAGAATATGTCAGATAGAATGCCAGAAGATATATGCCAGATAGAATGCCAGATAGAATGCCAGAAGATATGTCAGATATAATGCCAGAAGATATGTCAGATATAATGCCAGAAGATATGCCAGATAGAATGCCAGATAGAATGCCAGAAGATATGTCAGATAGAATGCCAGAAGATATGCCAGATAGAATGCCAGAAGATTTGCCAGAAGATATGCCAGAACATATGCCAGATAGAATGCCAGATAGAATGCCAGATAGAATGCCAAAAGATATGCCAGAAGATTTGCCAGTAAGAAAATGTATAAATGCCATGGTGGGGATCATTCGAAGTGAAGTATTTTTTTGCAAAGCCGAGTTTCAAAGAGCAGCGCGGAAAAAAAAAAAACACAATTTTTAAGAAACCGTTTTTTTTTGCAAAGCCGGGCTTCTCTGAGTTTCATAAGAGCAATGCGAAAAAAAAACATTTCTTTAGAGCCTGAAAAAATGTTTTGCTGCAAAGCCTCAGTTTTCTTCAAGTTAGTGGGGAAAACAATGTTTCAGGTCCCCAAGTCTATCCACATATTGATTTTGCGTGGATTGGAAGCAGTCCAAGCATGTGTGAAAAAAAACAATTTTTCGGAGCTTGAAAGATTGTTTTTCTGCAAAGCCCGATTTCATCCCATAAGACCATAGGGGGTCACACCGCAAAAAAATGAACCGCAAAGGGGAATTGCAAACCTCACCTATAAGCAGTAATTTAAGAATTTGGCAATCCTATTCCAGGGTCCCTCAAATTCTTAAAGTACTATGTGTTTGGTATAGCTGAAAATATGTAGCCCGCCTTGGATTCGAGCCCCTCAAATTCTTATACAGTGAATTCTTGTACAATACCCAAGCTGTATTTTCGCAATGATCCAAATTGACCTTCTTTTTTTGGGATGGGTTCAACCTCTAGACACCACGAAGCAAGTGCCGTGATGTCAGGCATTCTATTCGACCAAGGGTTTTTCGCAAACTGCTCCCGGTTGATTCATGTACAAGGACCCAAATGTCACCAGAAGGGCCCCCAAGTTTTGTATGTTTATATATATATATATATTTATTATATTTAATATTAATATCATTTAATATGTGTGTTTCTGCTGTTAAGCTACAGTTATAAACCAGCTTACCTCCTATATAAGTTGTTTCAAGCCCCATTTTTCTCCATGTTTGGATGGTTCAATCTCTTGAACCAGCAGGAACCATGGGCTCCGAGGCTCCAAACCCTGATGGTGCAAAGACAATCCGAGGTTTGGCCCGGTGGCCCGGTCAACCGCAGGTATCGATGTTTGGGAGATCCACCGAGAACATGGGAAAGTTGGTATGGCAAAGATCTTGTCAAACGGTGCAAAACATAGTACCCTCTGGTAATTTAACATTTTGCTATGGAAAATCACCATTTCTAATGGGTAAATCCACTATAAATCATCATGTTCAATAGCTATGTTTGTTTACCAAAGGGTATAAATTGTTTTACTATGTTCAACATATTATTATATAGCACAATATGATACTCTATGTGTGTATATATATCATGGATATTGTACTGAAAATGACCAAATTTGTGGGTCAATTGGTCAATTGGTACACTAGTATATATATATATATATATTTATAATAATATATTGTATATACATACATAAGTAATATATATATATTATACTATGTATATATTGAGCTAGGCTACGCCCAATTAGCAGACCTCTTATAGAACGAGTTTTCCATGTTTCGAGGCATCATGTGAATTTGACGGTTTTCAACAAATCTTTCACTTTCGCACTTCGAAAAGATACATTTATTGGTTGCCCCACTCGTTTGCACTACCCCAACATGTTTCAAACATGCTAGGGACACCCCGGTACCCATTTCATGTGGTGCTCGCGGGGTATGTTGATTTATGATTAACTATAAATAGATCCACTGTAAGCCCAACAGTTGCATTGAACTAATTACAGACCAACTTAACTAACATAAATCAACTATATAGATCCCCATTGCAGGGTAAAACTACCAATGTCGAACTTAGCTGACCAAGGGGACATCACCTTGTTGCGGTTGATGAATGCAAGCAATCATCCTGGAGTACAATGCGGTGACCCCCATCCCAAGTGATAATTTGGTCTATTAGTACCCATATATATATATACATACACATACATACATACATGCATGCATGCATGCATACATACATACAGACATACATACATACATAAGGTTGGTTATAACCTCTACCAACGATAGATAACATGTTGTTTTGCCAACCTCTATTAACTGGTTCGATGTATCCACCATAAACTCTAAGTATATTAGTTATACACCAACTTTGGTCTCTAGGGGGCACCACCTGTCGAACATCGATAAATGTTTTTTCATCTGTAGACGACTGTCTATCGATATGCTGGGTATACTAACACCTAAAAACATGTAGAACAGATTGCTGCTTGGTGGTTTGGAACATGAATTTTATTTTTCCATTCAGTTGGGAATAATCATCCCAATTGACTTTCATATTTTTCAGAGGGGTTGAATCCACCAACCAGTTAGTAGGTGATTTTACGATGTTGTTGCATCTTTAGGGGGGCTGATATGGATTTGTTTATCGTCATTTTTCCACATAGGTTGCAAATTTGGGGCATACCCGATGATCAGACCCTGACATGTGCCCCAAAGCTAATTTGATTTACAACTCCAATATCTAGCGATTATGATAGATATCTACTCAATGTTCTTCTTTTGTTTATCGACAATACCACACATTTCTCTGGGGAGCACCAGCAACTATTTCGTCAAAGGATTTGCCCACCTTTGACGGTGCCGGGCTGCATATTGGCATCGTGAGCGCTCGATGGAACTCGGTGGTTTGTGCCGCTGCCTCAGACATGTGTGCTGGAATAAGATATACCTAGACCCTCCAAATACATCTAAAACATGAGTCAGAGTACTAAAATGATGCGGTAAAACACAATTTTTATGGGTACTTGGAGGGTCTAGGTATAGTTATGGAATGCATATTAAAGTGTTTTCTATTTATTTGTGCTATATGTAAATGTTTATATTAAACATGTTGATTACAATGCTTGTTTTACACAAATTCTGGGGCAGGGTCGCAGGGTCTTTGATACAGCGTGGTCTCTGACCATTGTTGGTTTGCGCTGCAGTCATGACTTCCTTGGTCTGTTGGATTGTCTCAGTGTGTTCCCTGTAGAAACGTGAATTCATCTGATAAATAAAGTGGAACTGTTGGGGGTGCCACAAGGCTTTCGTTCTGAGTCAGTCTGAGTCTAAGAACAATCAGATCTACATTTCTACATGTCTCAAACCTTCCATTGTTTCCTGTAGGAATTGCTGGGCCATTTTTCTGTCACCAGCTGCGAATTGAATGTGGCCGCCTTTATTGGGGCCAGGAAAACTTGGTCGCTGGGGCAGTTGAAGCTTTGAAATCCTGCAACGTTGCAGCCTGAGAAAAACAGAAACCATGACTGCTTGGTGGTTTGGAACATGATTTTTTTTCCATTCAGTTGGGAATAATAATCCCAACTGACTATTTTTCAGAGGGTTGAAACCACCAACCAGATGATTTTTCTCCGGTTTCATAACATGCGTTTTTTTAAAGAATAGAAATTTGCCTCCTGTAATCGAACATAGCAATCATAGCAACATTTGCTGTGTGACGAAACATCTACAGATGAAATTAGACGGGTAATTGTCCATGGCTATGTTGAATTTATATGAGATTAGCCATCAACAAGCCAAAGTCACCCGAAATTCAACATAGCTGCAGACACCAATGACTAATCCATGGCTAATAAACCATATATGTCAACATAGCCATTGAATTTTATGTCAACAAGTTGAGAATATCAAAATCACCAGAAATTCATTTTGAATGAGACCAATGACATGCTGGTTTCAAGTTTTAAATATGTTTGTCATCTTCCATCCTATACCTGGGACGGTGATCTTCGCTGCTGAAATGGTGAAGCTGGGAGTGTCGGATCTTCGATTTCGAGCGATGTGGCATGCATTCCTGAAGAGGCCTTACAGAAGGACAGCTAATATGTTGCTGTTTTCCACTATATAAGTACTATATAAAAGTATTGTTAGTATTGTTTCCTTTGATGTGTGGCAATCCGGGACATTTTTGGATGTCGTCTTCCGATTCTTCAAGCTTAAGCATCCATCGAAATTGGTTGCTGAGGTGACTGACATCACCACAGAGTATGTTGTGGGATCCTCAGGCAAGAGATTTCATGGATTTTAACTATGTTTTGTTTAATGGTGTTCACCACGTTCTTCATGAGTTCTTCATGTCCACGTGTAAAATACATATATATATATATAATGATACACATATGAACAAGGATCGTTTGGAATGTATATGAACAATTACCGTATATCAGAGAACATAACATACTATGTTCCAATATGACTTGGTACAATGTGATATGATATGCTACAACATTATTTAATATGTATGCATATTATATATATATTGCATAGTTTGTATACATATATATATAAGTTATATATGTATTGTATATATATATATATTATAGTATTGTGTATGTGTATGTGTATATATATAATATTGTGTATGTGTATATATATATATACACATATTTCTGTATGCTTATGGAACCCATAGATCTGAGTACGTCCAGGGCACATCCAACATATCCCGAGTGTTTTCTGAGGCTGGGTCCTACGAGATTCCGCAGGCTGCGCAGGCGTCCCTTTACAGGGTCAAGGGCACTTAAGCTTAGTGTTTTAACAATGGAAACTATGGGGATGGGTCCCAACCTGTTATTACCACATTTGGGGACTAAACATCAATACTGACCAGCTATTATAGGGTACCCAGGGTACCAGGGTTTTGACTCATGGCCATACGGATTAATAGGAAAACACCGACGATACTTCAAACATATGGGATTCGTATGGATCCGTAATGGCTAGTAATGATTTACCCTCTGGTTATTTAACATAGCCATGGAAAATGGCCCATTTATAGATGGTTTACCTACTAATAGCATGGTGAATTTCCATAGCTATGTTAGTCATAACCAGATGGTAGTTAACCAAATGGTAGTGTTTTCATTACCAGAGGGTCTTTGTTGGGGGATCAACCTTTTTCATGGGGATCAATGAAGTAGAACCGGTGAACCGTTTTTCACGAATGGATGGCTTTATCAGGTAGGAAAACCCATGATAGGATTTACTATATTAATAATAATCATGGTAAGTATTGTTTTCATCATAATAACATGTTACAGGATGGATTTCCCCCCCCCAGTTATGTCTGTTGGTTTATAAACCATTATTTGATCTCCATTAACTAGTTCGTTATATCTAACATAAATCATAGAATTCAGCCACTTTTTTTGGGCAACTGAACGCTATCGACTGGGGGCCCCATCCTGTATCAATTTAGTGGATTCACTGTGGCTCATTGCTTCCCCCCTTGGCCATGTGCTTCAGCTCCGCTCCGTAGAGATCAAGCATTGACAATGAAGTGGCCCTAAAAAACAGCGATGGATACCCTCTGGGAACTATCATAGCTATTGAAAATGGTCATTTATAGTCGATTTTCCCAGATAGCTAAGTTGGTACACATAACTCCAACAATTATGGTTTATAGATGATTAAAAAAAAAACGACCTAGTTCGTGGGGTTTATAAACCAATTTATTACCCTCTGGTAAACATACAAAAAGCTATGGAAAATCACAATGTTATAGCTGGGAAAATCAACTATTTCTATGGTCATTTTCAATAGCTATGTTAGTTTACCAGAGGGTACTAGGGGGGCACCACCCTGTATGGTTGATGGATCATTTTCCTTCTTGAAACGGCTTTGCGACCTGTCGCCAGGTCATGCTGGAGTCGGGCAAGTTTGATGGCATCATTTGTGACCTCGGGGTTTCACCGGGAACTTGCTGTGAAGGGGGAACTTGCTGGAGGACATATCCCATCATTGTGGGTAAAACAAACAACTGGTTGGTGGTTTGGAACATGATTTTTTTTGACTTTCCATATATTGGGAATAATCATCCCAACTGACTATTAATAATGAATAGTGGTTAATAGTGGCTCTTAGTGGTTCATAGTGGTTAATAAACCACATAATAATTGGATATGACAAATAATTGTGGGTAAAAGAAGAATAATAAACAATTGTGCTGCCCCAATGCTAGCCCCAATGCTAGCTAAGTTGGTTGAAAACCTCAAAGATGGCACATATATCGAACTAGTTAATGTGGATAAAACAATAATAAACCACCCATTTGGCCCACTTGGGAATGGTAAAACTACCACCTATAAAAATGGTGATTTTTCTGAGGGATGGTAAACATGGCATTGGAATTACCCACAAAAAACTCCCATCTTAACGTGGCCGTTCCAGTAAACGCTTTGGTTAAAAAAAAAGTTTACTGGCGGTAAGTACAAGGTGGTGCCCCCCCAGTGATGTTTGTTGGTTTAGATTCGCCCCAGCAACTATAGTTATAAGCACCATAAACCATAGTTATTATTGGAGTTATGTGTACCAACTTAGCTATCTTGGGGGCCTCACATTGTAGGCTTAATCCAGTAATTTCACTGCGGTTATGTTAGCTCGGGGTTCCTGGGGCGAACCATCAATGATTGTTTTCAGGGAACGATGAAATGAAATTGTTTTGGCGCGCAATTTATGCGAGGGTTCCTGTAGATTTTCCCACTAATTCTGTACATTACAGCTGGATATACAATATCAGTCATGAGGCAACAGCTATTGGAGTTATAAACGAACACAATCTGTTTGGTGGTTTGGAACATTTTTTATTTTTCCATATATTTGGAATAGTCATCCCAACTGACTAATATTTTTCAGAGGGGTTGAAACCACCAACCAGCAATTTTATGCCCCCCCCCCCAGTGTCCACCAGTTATGTTTGTTGGTTTGTAAACCCCATTCATCATGGATATATCCACCAGAAACCCACATTATAGTTATAAAATGTTATTAAGCAACTTAGCTGTCTAGAATCAAACCATAAACCCACTATGGTTATATATATATATATATATACGAACAGAACCCCACCTGTTGGCAGCTCAGGTATTGGCTGCCTCATCAAAGGCGGCACCATGCACTTCGAGTACATCTCGGAGGTCAGCTGCTTACGGAGGTTCATCTTAGAGGAACCGTTACGCTTTTAACGTAATTATTGAATGGGAGTTAAAATATATATATATATGTATAAGTTTCTTGTTGCTGATATGTGTGTATTGAACTTTTTTTAGAAATGTGTTAGATATATCCCAGTAATTGTGTATATATATATACATATATATATATATATATATATATATATTTGTGTTGTTGGATTAAATTGGTGTTTAAACCCCAGTAATTATATGGATGTCTCGGCCATCAGATCGCAGTTCACCTGCGGGAAACCGATGGGTGTCATGGGAATATGGCGGTAATATATGCAGGATGGGGCCCTGCCCCCAAGATAGCGTTCAGTTGCCTTACAAGTGGCGGAATTCGATTGGGTTTACGGTAGACATACAACTATAGTTAATGGGGATTGTAATGGTTTATAAACCAACAGACATAACGGGGGGGGGGCCATTCTGTATGGGATATAAAATGATATAATTTCACCAACACCGACACCTGGTTCTCGTGGGATTTAATGGGAATGCAGACCAGGGCTGACTAATGGATATGATATAGCTATGGTATGTTAACCTCCATAAGTTAGGATACAACTCCTACAACTATGGTTACCCTTTGGTAATTCAACATTGCTATTGAAAATGGCACATTTATAATTGATTTACATCTTAAAAATTGTGATTCAACTATATTAAGATGTAAATCAACTATAAAAAACATATCCATTTATAGTTGATGTTGTCCATTTATAGTTGATTTACATTGTTATGTTAGTTTACCAGAGGGTATTTAACCCACTTACTAGTGGAACTGCGCCCCCAAGTATCCCATGGGTCCCATATCGGTCATGATCTTCCTGGCTAAAGGCCGAGGGTATACCATCCAGATATAGTAACACCAAAAAAAAATAGATGTAGTTTGGTATACCACTCGGTATATAGTAACTACATCTGCTATATCTGATATATACTTCCAGGTATATAGTTTGCTAGTTTGCCACTCTGCTAGATTGGGATTTTACCAATCTCCATCTTTTTTGGGGTTCGAGAGACGGCTGCTAGGCGGTAACTCAAGGAATCATGAGATTGAACCTCGACTACAAGCGTCCAGCCGCTGGCTCAGCCTCTGGTGTTGATATTCTGATACTACTTAATTAATGTGGTTAAAACAATGCCATGTTTACCATCCCCAAGTCATCACCATTTTTATGGGTGGTATAGACCATCAAAAATGCTGATAAGCCCCCACCAAACGTATTGCAGCTGTTACAAATTCATGTGGAGGTTTCCGTAAATGGGGGTACCCGAATAGCTGGATGGTTTATAATGGAAAATCCATCTAGAAATGGATGACGACTGGGGGTACCCCTATGACTTAGGAAACCTTCATGTCTTTGCTTCACGACGAGTCGGGGTCTGTTGAGGTGATTTATGGAATCCTTGGCTGTCTCAATGAGGAGCAGGTGAGGAACGATTTTGTGGCTTCAATGTGAGGCCCCTCGCTATACCGTTGGTTTATGTTGGTTTTTAAATTTATAAACCAATAGAAAGCAGTCTACCCTCTGGTAAACTAACATAGCTATTGAAAATGGCCATTTACAGTGGATTTTCCCACTATAAATAGCCATTTTCAATAGCTACGTTAAATTACCAGAGGGTAAATATAGTTGTACCGTTACCCCGGTGATACTAGTCCAATATAAAGCAACTTAGCTATTAGGGGCCGGGCCCGCCTTGTAGGATTTCATTCTCGGTCTTGAAGCATAGCATCTCTACCGGGTTGCTGCTTCACTGTTCATCATGTGAAATAGATTGCAATATTTAGATATATTGACATATATACATAAATATATGACATATATATATACATATTTAATCAGAAACACATATATATATATATGACGTATATATATATATATACATATTTAATCAGAAACACACACATATATATATATATGACATATATATATATATATACATATTTAATCAGAAACACATATATATATATATGTCATATATATATATATGTCATATATATATATATATGTATATGTATATGTTTATGACACGTGTACTCAAAAAATATATACTAAGTGTATACAATGTATATATAATTATATGTATAACTGGTTGGTGGTTTGGAACCATGGATTTTTTTGACTTTCCCATCATATTGAGAATGTCATCATCCCAACTGACGAAGTCCATCATTTTTTTTCAGAGGGGTAGGTTGAAACCACCAACCAGATGATATAATTATATGTATATAAGATACACAAATATATGAAATGTATACACAAATATATGACATATATATAGATATTTAAACATAAACTAACATGTTGAACTATTTACATATATTATACGATTGTGTTTCTTTTTCCCAGGCTAAAGAGCGAGCTGGAGTTGATGGAGCTGGACATAACAGCGGCAAGGCCGGTCCAAACGGGCGGGATTGGTTCACGGAGGAATTTCATGGGGAGATCATGTGGAAATTTTGGGGATTTAATCATCAACTTGATGGTCTTTGATTCCCAAGATTTAACTGTTTTTTTCATGGGATTTGATGGCTATTAATAATTGGTGATTGAATTGGGGATTGAATTGGTGATTGAATTGGGAATATCATAGAAAGTAACCTGAGAAGTGTTCAAAACTCCATTGGTTGATGATTAGAGTCATTAAGAGGGATTTTAAATGTACGTGGTTTAACCATCAAACTATGCGGATATAAGCCTTATAGCGGATATAGCTGATGAACGATAGTTGGTTGAGTATCATATAGGGTTATACTATCCAGTACCCTCTGGTTATTTAACATAGCCATGGGAAATGGCCTATCTATATATATATATATATATATAGATACCTATTAAAAATGGTGATTTTCCTTGGCTATGTTAAAAAACCAGAGGGTATTAATGGATGTATTTGGGGATGATCAGAATCCATGAGCTGGGACCAGGTGGTTGAATCTCATCAAACTTTCCTTAGGCGCTACATCTTGTGGCCGCCATGTTTAAGTTGCTGCCTTAGAGAACTCCTATTTGTTGGATATGCATATCTATGTATACTATATGTATATACATATCTATATTTACAGTGTATACATATGTAATATATAATATATATATATATATAATATATATATATAATATATAATATAAATGAATATAATATATGTAACATATATATATATATATTATGTATATATATATATATGTATACATATATATATATATAAGTTAGCCTGATGCTCCCCCGTCTTTCCTATCTACCCGCCCACATTATGATACAACAAAATTCTATGGGGTAAATACCAAAGACAGGGGAGCAACACCTTATAGAAAACAATAACCTAAATCAAAACAACAAACAACAAAACAAAAAACTCAAACAACCTAAACAATACAATAGACCATAAAGAATACTATACCAAAAACCTTGACAACAAACCATACACTTACCCTCATTCAAAAGCCTGTTGTAATGCTAAAACCTATGAGATGGACTTTAAGATAAACTATGAAATAATTTATCTATAAAGCCAGACCTCGGCAATGGTAAAGCCAATACATAAACATAATTGAAAAATCAATGCCATAAACAGGATTTCTCCATCTTACCAGTTCAATATTTAGGCAAAGGGACTGCCTAAATTTTAGGCAAAGGGACTACCTAAATTTTAGACAAGTGGGTTGCCTAAATTTGAGGCAAAGGGATTGCCTAAAATTTAGGCAAGGAGGGGTGCCCCCCCTATAGATAATAACAACCCCCCGTATTCAGTATCCGAATACACCCTTATTCTGTATTCAAATGCTGAATACCCCGTATTCAGTATCCGAATACACCCTTATTCTGTATTCAAATGCTGAATACGTCCATAGGCTCAATACCCATTGTCCAGCCCCTAGACATCCCAATGTATAGACTTTATACATCTAAATGTATAGACCTTATGCATCCCAATGTATAGGCTGTAGCCATCCAGATTATCCAGCCTAGATTTTGAAAAAAACTAGCCCAGATAATGGAATTATCCAGCCCAGATAATGGGAATATCCAGCCCAGATAATGGAATTATCCAGCCCAGATAATGGGAATATCCAGCCTAGGTAGTATTGAGACACACCCCGCACAAATCCATTTTCAGACCTTGAAAACACCCATTTTCAGACCTTGAAAACAACCATTTTCAGACACTGAAAACGGCAAAAAACACTTTCAGACCCTGAAAACGGCATTTTCAGACACTGAAAACGGCAAAAAACAATTTTCAGGCACCGAAAACACCAGTTTTCAGGCAATGAAAACACCCATTTTCAAGCACTGAAAACACCTATTTTCAAGCACTGAAAACACCCGTTTTCAAGCACTGAAAACACCCGTTTTCAAGCACTGAAAACACCAATTTTCAAGCACTGAACACCCCTAACTAAAACACACAACATTTATATATAGCACTGAACATTTCTTGAACCAATGCTTCAGGAATTTCATTTGATGGCAGCCTTTGCCCTTTTTCAATATGTTTGTTTTCTATTACATTGCCACAGTCCCTTTTACACAATGCTCTGGGTTGCCACCCTTCCAAGTTTGTCCAAAGCCTAGTGCGTCTGCTGTATTCAAATCCATATTTACAAAAGTCTAAATCATAATAGGGAAGTTTTTTCATAAACTCTTGTTCTTTCCACAAACTTGATTGAGGATTTTGTATCACAAAAACCTGTGGTTTGAAGTAATTGATTACCTCAAGTATTTTTAACACAATCTTATTGGTTTCATCTATTTTTCTGACATCATTGGTATTTACCCTATTGTATTTAAAAGCTGGGGGTGAAGAAAAGACAAAGTCAAAGTATTTCACTGGATATTTTTTATATTTCCATTGTAGTATGTCGCAATTGATATCAGCCCCTTTCAAATCTAATGACACAACATCCCAGCCCATATCTTTTGCGACAGTTCCCACACTGCCTGTCCCGCTAAACATCTCAAGTAATTTCATATAATTTATATATGAAATTATTGTTGAAAGACACGCATTTTATCAATCCATTAATTTATACACTTCACCATCCCTTTCAATCTTGTAAAACTCAAGAGTTTGACTTTTAGGTTGCTTCACGCGACCTTCATTTAGCATTTTCAGATATTGAGATTGTTTCTCTTCAAAACTGCCTCTTGGGCGACCCACCTGTTTTTTCTCAAAGATTTTATCAATCCGTTCTTTTTCAGCATCAGCATCATTATTTTCAGCAGGTTTATTTTTCACTAATATATCAAGTTTTTCTAATGCCTTGTTCATTAAGTCCATCAATACCATCACATTCTTGTTATACTTAGTCATCTTGTTCAGCATCTCTGCCATCTCAGGTTGTTTATCATCTAAATCAGACATTTCTATATATAATTATTTAGATATTTATTTATTTATCAGTTCAACGTGTGTTAAAATCACTCTTTAAATAATTTTAATCCATATCATTTATTGCCAGTTGTCCTTTACTTCTGGGGGTAGTAGTCATTACATCCCGTATCATATTGTTAGTGCTTTCCTTATTTTTGTCCTCTGGTGTAATCTGGCGGTTAAAACTGAAACTGATGCTATGGTCTTCACTTTCTAAAACAATTTCACCGTCATCATCCTTTTTTACATTCATTGTTTTATCATTCTTGCTGATTTTGAAACTACAGGGGGAACATTTACATTTGATGCCCTTGGGGTTGATTTCAATTTCATTTCTCATCTGTAGTTTGCCATTACACAAGGGACATTCAAATACAATGTTTTTAGATGTCAGTTTTTGTTCCTCATTCAGATTGACAACAGCGGGTTCTTCATCTGATAGTTCAAAATCTTCAGGGATTGGCTTTTTTGGTATTTTACTACTCATCTTTGGTTTTGCTTTTTTGGGTGGCATTTATATGATACTTAAGATAATTTATTATTATCTTCAGGAACTCCAGCATTACCCTGAATATTTGTTTAAGTTTATTATCTCTTACAATTGGAAATTTACTATTATCATCAATACTATTTTCAATCACATCTATTGTATTGATATAACTATCATAATCACTCATCCTATATAATTAGATGATAAAATTACTACTATCTAATTATATATGGATTTTTAGGCGCAAACCAAAATCCATAAGGGGCGGTAGGTAAATGTCAAAGAAAATGAACTGTGCTGATTGAAACATAGCATCAAACAAATTCTCAAGCAAAAAGGCTTCAACATCTTCTACTGCTTGTTGTCATAGCAAAAAGAGACCGTGTCGGGAGTGAAAAAGAAGCAAGAGCCCAAGGGTGGATTTTTTATTTTTCTAATTAACCTTCTTATGAGGGGCAATATGGCAGTCTGTTCCAGATTTCACTGACCCCATTTCAAGCAAAATAAGATATGCCATTTACAAGATATAATATATTTTATTTTCTAAATAATTTATATTATGTCAAAACTTGCTGTTCCTAAAATAGAGCCTATCAATGTAAAACAGTATGAATTCAAACAATCACCATACCCACAAGCAGACAAACTACCATTCAGAAGCATCATTGTATCGGCATCACAGGGCGGAAAGGGTATATTAATTCAGAACCTCATTCTAAAAATCTACAGGGGATGCTTTGAGAGAATATACATTGTATCACCGACAGCACACATAGATGAAGCATACAAAGAAGTAATCCGATACATAGAGAAAGAACTAAAAATAGACAACAAAAAAGAGCAATATTTGTTTGATGAGTATGACCCTGAAAGTCTGGCACACATCATAGACACACAGCATAAAGTGATAGAATACCAGAAGAAAAACAAGATGAACAAGTTATATGGTTGCCTGTTAGTAGTTGATGATTTCGCAGAAGATAAGACATTTATGAGATATAGTAAAATCCTTCACGGCTTATACACAAAATCAAGACACTTTGGATTATCAGTCATAACTGCCACGCAGAAGTATAATGCTTTAAGTCCTATAGTCAGGTTAAATTCAAGTAGCCTTTACATCTTCAAACTGAAAAATCAATCAGAACTTGACACATTCATTCAAGAGCAGTCAGCCCTGATTGATAAGAAAACCATAAATGAAATTTACAGAGTAGCCACTGAAGAGCCCTACTCATTTCTATTTGTAAAGTTGAGAGAGAGTGATGTAAATAAAATCTTTATGAAAAGGTTTGAAGCCGAGATACACATTCAATAATATTATTTCAATCATAATAATATTATTGAATCAAACTCCAACTACAAAGTTGAATAGCAGGTAGTTTATACATAATCTTATCAGATTTTTCCTTGTTCAGTTTTTCAATTTTGCTATTGATTTCGTTTAAGGCTTTTATTTGTAATTTATCTATCCTACTAATATCTAACTCTTCTTCATCAATTTTACTCAATTCTTGAATACAACCGTTCTCAAC